CATATAATCTCTGGTGATAATTTTGAACACATGCTATTGCTGTGACAGCATTTCTATTTCTCAGAGTGAAAAAGGCTGCTTGGTTTTATTTTGCTAACACTCCAAGTGAGCCAGTACTTCACTTAAATCAGCATTCACTATCAATACCATAGCTTCACTGCTTCCAATGTGCAATCTGACCCTAACTGATTGCTTGCCGTTATCTGAAATGCAGCTTTCCTGCTAGCAATTACTTTATTTACTGCTTGGTAAACCAGTAATGCCTTCCCTTGTGGGCACAAAGGCAGATTAACATCAGTAATTACTAGAGCAGATGTTTGTATGTGAATACCCATTCTTAGAGGCAAATTATCTTCTGCATTGGTGTAAGGGAAAGGGACTCAATGCTGTCATCCCACAAGCGATGTGAGCAGCATGGGACTCAGCAGAGACCCGCGTAGCTCCCCCCACCTCCTCTCACAAGAAGTGCTCTCTGCAGGGTGATAATCATTGACCTTATTGAGATCAGTCCTAAGGGTTGCTTGGCATTTAATTCCTAGAAGTGACTGCCAATGACTGAACAGGGCTCAGTGCCACTTGCACTTGCTTCCTGTTGGGTTTTGTTTTTTGCTTTCTGTTCCCAGGAAATCTAGGGCTGTGCTTTCAAGAGAGCTCAACACCTAGACTGAGGGCCTGTGTTTCCTAATAGCTCTGCTCCCACTGAATTGCCTGAAAGGGACACTCAGCACTAAGCGCTAAGCTTATTTAAAGTAGACACTCATTAACTCCTTCCAGGCTACTGTGAAGAGCAAAGGAAGCATGGCTGTGTCTCAGAGGGACTGGAGGCAGGGTCTTTATTAATCCAGTTGTGCTGCCAGGACTGAAATATGTTTAGAGGAACCCTTTAGTGCTTTTGAAGTCTCTGCTGGCACATTATGTTTCTCAGCTGAAGAATCATGGAATCCCAGACTGGTTTGGGTTGGAAGGGACCTTAAAGCTCATCCAGTTCCAGCCCCCTGCCACACACAGGGACACCTTCCACTAGACCAGGTTGCTCCAAGCCCCTGTGTCCAAGCTGGCCTTGAACACTGCCAGGGATGGGGCAGCCACAGCTTCTCTGGGCACCCTGTGCCAGGGCCTCAGCACCCTCACAGGGAAGAATTTCTTCCTAATGCCTCATCTCAATCTCCCCTCTGTCAGGTTAAAGCCATTCCCCCTTGTCCTGTCCCTACAAGCCCTTGTCAAAAGCCCCTCTTCTACCGCATGTGAAGGTGTGTGAACATGCAGAAGAATGGTCCTGGTTCCCCGGGGAGTTTTAAATCAGCTGCCTAGGTTTCAGGTGTCCCCCACACTTTTGAAGCTGAGAGTAATATGTCGCCCTGATCTTCCTTATGCAGACAAGTCATGGCATTTCCCCGCCTGAAATGAAATGCTTCTGCATGCCAGGAGTGGGCAGAGGGGGCCATGAGAATCTGAGTGTCGCTACTTCTCCCACTGTTACTGAATATAATCTTGTATGGGGTGAGTTTGTTTCCATAAGCAGAGAGCACTCTTCAACAGCACTGAGATGGCTTTGCCTTTGCTATTGAATCACTCTGAGCCCTGCCTCATAAACTGCTGACTCTCTTGCTCAAGAGGCTTTCAGCTTTTGAAAGCTCCTTTTACGCAACACCTCCCTTCTATCACCTTGTGCTAGTTACGCAGCGCAGTGGGAGGAGAAGGGGGAGCCATGCCAGCACCCCACCCTTCACCGCTATAGATTCACTTAGGGGGATACAAAGCACTGATCCCAGCATGGATTTGGCCTGCAGAGAAATTGAAACCAGATGTTTAGTGTTCAATCATGCTTTTCCCATTGTCCCTGCCTCTATCCCAGTAATTACTGTCTCTTGAGGGTCATTTAGACTTCAGCTCTGTGGAGAAACTGGTGTTCTTGATTAAAGGACTATCTGCTTTTCCAAACATCCTTGTCTAACTGTACGTTGAATGACATGTCACAGTATTCCAGAGCTGTTCTGTTAGCTACCAAGTAGAAACATCTATAATTGTTCCTTTGTTAAAAGAGAGATGAGGGGTGTCAACAGCAAGGGCAAGGAACACAGCAGCTACCTGAAGAAAGAAGTATGCCTGGTAACATGAAAAGCTCACCAGGCCTGAGTGAAACTGGAACATAGACAAAAAGGAAGATGAAAATGTTGGGTTTTGCACAAATGCTGTTGAACCAGCCGTGTAATAAGGCATTAAAACTGTATTTTTCTGGTTATTGCGATAGCACATAGTGTTATAGACTTCTGGGGTGTTATCGTGAGTCTCCTGCTGCTTGGTAATTACCTCAAATTCCCTTGGGTCATTTGACTGTTTGAAAATGCACCTCTGACAGAGGCAAATGGCTGCACCCTTCAGAAGCAAAAGGCAGAATTTAGTTTTATTTCATGAACCCTGGCAGAAATGAAATCCTGGCACCAAGGGAACTTGAGGGTGTGAGGCCTCAGTCAGCTCTGCTTTCTGCTGTTGTATGTGTTCCGCTGAGGCAGGTGCTGCTGACCAAGGAAGAGGACAACACGACACCGCAGCTCCTTTCAGACATTTAGAAAAGCTTTCAGCCAGGTCTCCAGCTACGTCTCTTGTGTCTTGTGGGAAGGAGCAGGAATGCAGAAGGACCAAGGGAGAGAACAGGAAATTTGTATATTGATGCTTGAGCACCATCAGTGCTCAGGACCTCTAGTGCCTGGCTAGGTCACTGGGAAGAAAGGGGCAAGCTGACCTCTAAGCTGCAGATCCAGTGTGTTTCTTTGCTTGGGTTGACTGGTACCTGGGGAGGAAACTCTAAGTGGGGATCATCAGTGACCACTTGAGGGAATAACCGTGACATCACCAGGACTACCAAGAGCTGACTTCCTGCCTGCCCTTGTGAGTGTAAGCCCCACTGGACACTTTAACACCAATGAAGTGACCCAAGGAGAGCTAAGACTCTGCTTGCTTGTTTGCCCGCAAGGCCAAAGCTCCCTGGATCCCAAAGGCACTGGTTTTCCCTCTCACAGTGCTCCCCTTGTGTCCTCATGGGAGGCACAGGTCCCTGCCAGTGCTGCATGGGGCTAGGTAGCATCCCCAGCAGCTGGGAGCTGGGCACTGCTCGATGGAGGCTGGAGCTGGCAGGGACAGCACAGGGCAGTGAGAAGAGACCTGGCAGATGCTTTAGAGGTGCAGTGGCTGATTTAAGCCAGAGCCAGCTGTTCATGTAGGCACAGCCTTTGCCTCTAAAGGCACTAGGTGAACTCTAACCATGAGTTTTAAACTGATCCCATCTGGATCCAAAGGCAAGTAGGGAAAAGATAAATGGAGACAGGCTCCTGCAGCCACCAGCAGCTCTGGCTCATGTCCCAGTTCCCTCTCTGGTACTTTTGGTGGTGCTTATTACTTTCCTCTAGCTGTAAAAACTACCCCAACACCGTGTCGTTGCTGAATTAAGTCAGACAACTTGTTGCCAATCCCGCAGGGATTTTTCCAGTGGTATAAGTCTGATGCTGGATATTCTAGCTCGCAGGCATCCTTTCCAGCCGGCACACAAGCCCTTGCCTTTTCATCATAAGGCATGCTGCTGATATTCAGGCACAAAATGTCTCCCTTTCTCATGCTGACAACTCCACAAGGCCTTAAATCTTCCTGGAGCTATCTCCCTCATGCTATGTTAGGTCCTGTCTTTCCAAACTTAGCATTCCTGACAGGATGGGGGAGATGGGCTTGTGGTTACGAGAGGAGACTGGAGGTTAAGCAATCTGTCCGGGAAGCCACCCCTGCTGCAGATGCCCCTCTGTCATTCAGTGGAGCCAATAGCATAGATGAGGTAATGAGGATGCTGTGGAGGCAGAGATGGGAAATGACACATGGTGTTTTGTGCTGGGAGCCACATTTGTAGCTTAAAATGCTCTGTGGTTTTTGTTTTCCCTCCGCTGTAGAGGGAAATAAGTGCTGGAATAACCCATGAGGAGGCAGAGCCTGGAAAATGTCTCCAACTTCCTGGATCTGTGTGGAAAATATCTTCCTCCTTCTGAACCCCTGTGAAGAGCTGTGGGCAGCAGTGTGCAATAGTGCCAGTGCAATGTCCTCCTGTCCCCTCCCCAGTGGACAGGGTACACGGGTGTTTTTCCACAAGCAAGATGGCTTTAGGGCGTGGGCCTTGCCCAGCAGAGAGAGGTTTCTGGGGTTGCTGAAACCCTTCCTCCTCCTCACTGCTTTCCTTTCCAAAGAGAAAGCCCAGCCTAACACCCAACAAGAGGGACATGGAGCCTTGGGAGTGAGTCCAGAGGAGGCCAAGGGGATGCTCCAAGGGCTGGAGCAGCTCTGCTCTGGAGCCAGGCTGAGAGAGCTGGGCTGGGTCAGCCTGGAGAAGAGAAGGCTCCTGAAGGGGAGAGCTTAGAGCAGCTCCAGTGCCTAAAGGGGCTACAAGAAATCTGGAGAGGGGCTTTTGACAAGGGCCTGTAGGGACAGAACAAGGGGGAATGGCTTTAACCTGACAGAGGGGAGATTGAGGTGAGACATTAGGAAGAAATTCTTCCCTGTGAGGGTGCTGAGGCCCTGGCACAGGGTGCCCAGAGAAGCTGTGGCTGCCCCATCCCTGGCAGTGTTCAAGGCCAGGCTGGACACAGGGGCTTGGAGCAACCTGCTCTAGTGGAAGGTGGCAGGGGTTGGAACTGGGTGAGCTTTAAGATCCCTTCCAACCCAAACCAGTCTGGGATTCTGTGATGAGAGAGAACAGATAAAGGAGAGCGGTTTCGGAGGGGAGCTCCTGGTCAGGCACCTTGCCTGGCTGCAGAGCCTGTCCCGGGGCATTCCGATCCCCTCAGGAGGCAGCCGGGCAGCAGGTACCCGCACCGCCAGCGGGCTCGCTGCCCCGGGGCCCTAGGCCGACTTTGCTCGGCCCTGCGTTGCCGGCGGGCGGGGCGTCAGTGTGGGCGGGCCGGGGCGGTGTTTCGGGCCTAGGCCGCGGCCCGCCCCGCCCCGTCGGCTTTAAAGCAGCATCGGCCGCAGGGGGGTCTGAGTTGCGCAGCCATGGCTGGAGCTTGGGTGTGTGTTTCCCTCTTGGCTGTGGCATTGGTGTTTGCCGGCTCCGTGTGGGGCGGCGAGGATCGGCCGCGGCTGGTGGGGGCCCCGCTGGACATCGCCAACGCCGACAACGATGAGGGCCTGCAGCGGGCCCTGCAGTTCGCCATGACGGAGTACAACAGGGCCAGCAACGACATGTACTCCAGCCGGGTGGTGCGGGTCATCAGCGCCAAGAGGCAGGTGGGTGCCGGGGGGGCTTGTGAGGGGCGGCGGCAAGGGGGACACTGGGGCCGGGGTGGGGGGGACGGAGGGAACGGCCACATCAGCCTCTGGGGAGCAGCTGGAAATGAGGCCTGTGTTGTCTGGAGCAGCGAGCAGGCCTCAAGCTTGAGGGTTGTTGAAGCTGAGGTTTTCCTTCTGCAGAAGGTGAGTAAAAGCCTTCTTTTTGTTGATCCGCTGTTGAGCGCTGTAACTTGTGCTGTGGATGGGTTAACATGACTTTGTTTACCAGCTGAGGAAGCTGCACAGTGAGATTTGTTTACTTGGATTTTGTTCCTGTTTTTGCAAGGGTGGCAAATGCCTCCTCTGTGGAAGCTGCCATGTACAATTCCCTGTGTGCTTTTTGGAGTCTGGTTCCCATCATGTAACCAGAAAACTGTCTGCCTTTCTGCTAGGCTCCTCTCCTCAGAGAGCCCTTCTGCCTGTACTGCAAGTAAAGCTGCCTCTGTCTGCTTGTCTTGTTGCAGATTGTGTCTGGACTCAAGTACATAATGGAGGTGGAGATTGGCCGGACAACTTGCCCGAAGCCAGCCACTGATCTCCAGAGCTGTGCTCTCCATGATGCACCACACATGGCCAAGGTAAGCTCCAGAGCTGGCCCCTGGGTTTCCAACCCCTTCCCTCCAGCTGGCTTAGTACAGAGGGGTATGGGCAATGTCCCTTGTCTGCTCCAGCCAAGATCCGGCACCTTCATACCTTTATGCTGAACAGGATCTTGCTCTTGCAGAACTTGTCTTGCCAGATGACACTGCCAGAGAAGGCAGGGCCTTTTAGCTTGTTTTGTAAGTGGGGATCTTGGGCTGTGCCGCATATGTGTGCCTCAGTACTCTCAAAAAGTGCTCAATAGTCTAGGTCGTAAAGATGTGTGGAAGAAACTCTGCCAAACCTACAGGTCTCCTGCCCCTCTGGCTGGTACCTTGAGTCCCCATGCTATTCTTGGCTCCTCTTATCCCGTGGTGATGTCAACATGCATGACTTGGCACTCCTTCCTGGGGGGGGTGGCTGACATTATTGTGGATAGTGCTTTTGGCCAAGAACTGATCACAAGAGGCAGATTACCCTTCTTCTCTGTGCCCAGCAGGCTGTTACATGGGAGTCTTGTCTTATTGCAATGCTCTTAAAGAAGTACTTTAGCTTTTCGGGTGAGAGCACCAAGTATGTGCTGCCTTGATCTGGGCTGAGTCTAGCTCCTCCATAACACGTCATTACTTCCGTTAATCACAGCAACAGGCTTAGCTTCTTTGCGTACATGCCCTTTCTGCCTGCATACAGGAGTGTAACTGCACACAAGTGATCCATTAAGCACTTAGTGGTACACACAAGCTTCTAGCTGACAACTGGAATGATTTGACACTTGCACGTACAGATTAGCTGTGCAGGTTGTGATTACCTGTGCCTGAGAGTTTTTGGTGGAGTATTAGCCATGCTGAAAGCTGGATGAATGGGTAAAGGAGGCAGCCTGAGCTTCAGAAGTGCTGACTTTTCGGCTTCTCTGTTAGTGTTTTCTTGAGAGAAATGATTAATCCCGAGTAGGTTCTAGCAGGAGTGGTATTCCAGAGTACTTGTCAGGAGAATGCAAATCTAGAGAGCCATGGAAATGGCATACATTCTGGATCATGTGGGGTGGTAAATGGCTGTAACAGCATAAAACTGTGTTACCAACCATTGCTGTAATCTTTTAATTGCTTTTCTTTTTTCTTTCTCTCCTTAGCGCACCACTTGCAACTTCGTAGTGTACACTGTTCCTTGGCTAAACCAAATCAAACTATTGGACAGCAGCTGCCAATAAACCTGTCTTGTTCCAGGAGAGACCAGCAGCCAGTTGCTCAGACTTAAACAAAATAAAGGCAATAACACAAATTGAGATGGGCTTTATCAATGCCTGTTAACACAGCTACTTATGTATGCTTGTGCTATGCAAGTTAAACTAGGTAACTTTCCTTTAAAGCACAGTATGATCTCAACTCTTTGTAATTACATTTTAGAGCAGCTGTTTTGGTCTTTATCCAGCTTTCCTAATGAAGTAACTCCAACATCAGAATTCTGATTAAAAAAGCCCCTTGGTATCCCTGTTAGAGTGACTACTGTAAACATAAAAAAATAATTCATAATTGCTGTGATGTGTGGTTTTGTTTGAGCTTTTGCTGGGTGGGAGGGAGGGTTTGCTTTTATTTGTGATCCAGTCTATAATGCCCAAAGAATGGGGTGTGAAGGAGTGTGGGGTCCTAGACACAAGGGAGGTAAACTGTCCCTGATTGTTCCCTAAACCTGGCCTTTGGTTTTGGAGTAGGAAATTCTTAGTTGTTTTCACTGGAGGAACTCTCTGCTTTTGAAAACGCTGCAGTGTGGAGCTCCTGATCTTGGGCAGGTAAGCCAAAGCTTGTACAGAGGCTGTTATTATTTCAGGTGCTTGAGGTACCATTAGGGGATGCCTCTTGTTTTGCAGAGTTCTAATAGTCCATTTCTTGTGTCTTTGTTTTTCTGTGTTTTGAAGTAACCATACCCCTTCTGGCAGATATCACCCAGGGATAAATTGGTTCCAATGTTCTGTCATGCCCTATGTTAACCCTAAAACCCAGGAGTCCTGTGCCTGGGCCTGGTGGTCCTGTTTTGAAAGGAAGGTGGAAGGGGTGCTGAGAAGAGTTGCAGAAGTGATCTGATGGTAGAAAAGGCAGCTTGAGGTGAGAAGTGCAAGGATGCTGTTATTTGCCTAAAAAATGGTACTTACATGTGAGTCTTGGAGGATGGAGCTTGGGTCTGATGGAGAGCAGAATAAGAACCACCAGAAACCAAATGTCTAGTGAGACATACAGCTCCTTCAGAGTGCATCTTCTGTGGGTTGTGCTTTCTTTCAAGGGAAATACCACTTCCCATCATTAACAAGTTTTGTGAGCTTGCAGTGAGCACAAGGCCAGATCTTGATTTGAGCAGTTGGGGATGACGTGGTTGCCTGACACAAAGATCTCCATCTAGGATGTGCTCCGATCTGATAAGAATTGGTCCCCATGCTTCCCCCCACCATCACTGCCCATTCCCTCTGAGTGCTGTGCACAGGGATGTCCTGTTCCTCTTGCCAGCCAGGTCAGCGACTGCAGGTGTCTGCCTGATGTGCTGTTGCATCAGTAACCCTGCTGATCCAGGAAATCCTAATGTCAAGCTACTTGGGTGCCCTCACTTGTCATTTTTCTAACAACTCCATTCTTGCATGCTTATTTCCCATTTTTAGGTCTATTACAACACTGGAATGTGGTGAAGGGGCTCCATCATACTTCTGCATTTCCCTTTTAGCATCTTGGCTTGAGGCCTGTATGGGAGATTGTACTTGGAAAGGAGACTAGGCAGGAACTCAGGATGCAGATGGATGTAACCAAGATTTTCTACCAGTTCAGCTCTGTTAGCCAACAGCTGTGAACAGCGTGTGGGGAAAAGGAGTGGCTGTGCCAGAGAAAGTGAGTTTGAGTGTCATGAGCTCTTGAAATTCAAAGATCCTGTGTTCTCATGTTGAAATGCCAATGACTAAGGGCATGAAGGAATGGCACAGATTACCCCATCCTCACAAGCTGCTGAGTATCAGCTTCGCTGATTATCCCTATGTGTTCTCCACTCAGACCAAATGCCAAAAAAGCCTGACCTAATAGAAGCACCTTCCACTGTGGGCTGTGCTACGTTGTTAGCAACAGGCTCAGGGCATTAGTGGGAGTTCCCCTGCCAAGAGTATTTTGCTTGGCAGGTCCTTCTCCTTGGCTGGCTGGTGGTAGCTTGCTCAGCTGAACACTGAGCCCTCATTTTTCACTGCCTGACTTCTTCAAATGTTGGTGACGGATGTGAACAAATGACCAAGGCAGTGCTTATTTCCTGCTGTCGGTTGTTATGCTTTGCTTGCACCTGATGGATGGATGGATTCTAGGGTTGTGCTTCCTTAAACGTAGGTGGGGTCAGAGCTGTGCTGTACTGACATGGACTTGCAGCTCCCACCTCTGCCAAGACAGCTGGGAAAGTCATAAATTGGATGTCCTCTCTTGGGAATATCTATGGAAGAACTCCATCTCCTCTTCAAATTATTTGAGGGGGATCCATGTTTGACGTCTCCTCAAACACTCACCCCCTCTGTGTGAACAACCCTTGATAAAGTGGTTGTAAAATTGACGAGTCAAGATGCTCATAGGCAAAAAAAGGACCACCCTATTAGCCTCTTCATTTTTAATTCTTCTTTTCATCCCTATGGAATGGGTATTTTTGTCACATAATTTTGGAAAAACAGTTACAACAGCCATTGAAATGATAGCTATGGTCATTCAGAAAGGAAGAGAGCGGTTATTGACTTTAGGTGGTGTTGAACCTAATATTATCTGCCTCTTGATACAAAACAGCTAGCCTTTTTAACTCACCTGGCTTTTGCTTTTCAGTGTGCTCTAGCAGATTTTACAGGGCAAATCAGCATTCATTTCCCAGGGCACAAAATTGTGCAATCCCTACATTCTCTTCTGCTTTTGCCTGCTTCACAATTAACTGTTATGCCAATAACTGAGGCCCTCACAGTATTCACTGGGTCTGGCAAGAAAGGCTGAGCAGTAACAGTTTGGAAAGATGCTGAAGGACACGGGAGCAGTGATATGCACATTGTCACAGGATCACCTCAGGAAGCAGAACTCTGCTGGAGTCCATGCTTTTAAATTATGGACTACTCCAATCAACATTATCACAGATTCCACCTAAATGGAAGGCCTTGTTTCTAGGCTAGAACATGCTTTTCTGAAGGACATTTCCAATAGGACATTATTTGCCCTTCTCTGGGAGCTAAAGTGGCTCCTGGATTGCTGGGTACACCCATACTTTATACAGCATATAGGCTCACATACTTTGCTACCTTGACCTATAAGCGAGGGAAATACACAGGCTGATGGGCTTGCAGGTCTTATGGTCTTACCTGACCGTTTTGCATGTGCTGGCTTATCCCATGAATTTTATCATCAAAATGCAAAAGCTCTGCAACATGCTTTTCAGCTGACTCAGGACCAGGCAGGGCAAATCATGCAGTTGTGTCCTGATTGTCAACAAGTTCTACCCACGTCAGTGATGGGAACTAATTCTTGCAGTCTTTTGTCACTTGAAATTGGGCAGACAGATGTTGCTCACATACCAGAATTGGGCAAATGCAAACATGTCCATGTTTCTGTTGACACTTTTTCACCTTGTATTTAAGGATCGGTACATTCAGGTGAAAAGGCCAGAGATGTTTGTGGACATTTTATTACAGCTTTTTCTACCCTGGCAGTTCCAGAACTCATAAAACTGATAATGGCCCAGGTTATCCAGCACACAAAACACAAGCATTTCTTCAACAGTGGGGAATTCAACATGTCACAGGTATTCCACATTCTCCCACAGGCCAAGCCATTATTGAACGCACACGTAGCACCCTTAAAACTATGTTGCAGAAACAAAAAAGGGGGAGTTCAGGGTTAACCCCACAAGAACGTATAGCGAAAGTTTGTTATGTTTTAATTGTTTAACTCGCTGGACAGAGGATGGGCCTCCTACACAGCACCATTTTGGGGGTTCAAAGTATTTAGAACAGGGGAAAGCTCATGTTAAAGTATGTAATCTTGAAACTCATGAATGGGAAGGCCCGTTCCCTTTAATAACCTGGGGACGAGGGTATGCTTGTGTTTCCACAGATAAAGGACCTCGTTGGGTCCCTGCATGATGGGTTTGTCCTGCCTTGCCTTCTGTCTCTTCATCACAAGAGGAACGACCCTGCCGTGGTTTCTCACCTAGCCAAAAGAGAGCATCTATAACCAATGCGACAGGACCAGACACCATGTGCCTGTTGGTTGCCACACCTATGAGTCCTTTCAGACTGCTGTTGGAAGCAATGGCAGCCTCAAATCCTGAGGACACGTGGGATGCCTGGGGGGTATAGCAACACAGCCGCAAGTAATTGATGTGTTAAGATCTGTAAAAACAGGTATGTATCTATGTTTTCATTCTATAGTTTGAAACCAATTGTTAGTGCAGAATGGTGACTGTTCCATAACTGGTTATTTGCTAGGCTAGGAGCACGAGTGAAAAAATTGTATTAAGAATGTTTGTTTTCTTAGTTTTTATTAGCTTATGTGGTTTAATCGAGCACTTAAGGAGGTGTTGACAGGGAATATACAAAACAAAGAAGGGGGAGCTGTGGGGAGTGAAGGCACTAAGATTTGCATGAAGGAGAGTTTGGGAATGAGCTCTGAGGCCTTGGTGCTTTGGTTGCGATGAGTTGGGGCATGTAAGGCCAGAGAATGTGGGGGTTGTGAGAGCATCTGCAACACTGTGATTGGACTATTTAACTGGTGAGTTTCAGAGGGGCCAATGAGATTGAACATTGTATGTATGTGCAGGTTGGGAAAGGGCCGAACAAGTGGATAAAAAAGGCTTGGTGGTAATAAAGGAGGACTTGAGTCTCTGCATCAACTTGAGTCCATGTCGTGAAATGCCACACCACGTGGCTTTGGCAGACAAGTGGTTTCCGCTTACTCTGAGCTCCCAGGGCTGGAGGGCTGCAGGGCTTCAGAGCACCTGGTCTGGTGCAGCCATAGGGGAAAGCCTGTGCCAGCGCTGACCAAGGCTTCTGAAGCTGCTTCTCAAGCTGGGGGAAACACGGCCACGTGCAAGGGATCAGTCATGGAATCACAGAATCACAGCGTGCCCAGGCTCAGGTCACTGCGGCGAGCAGGCTATGCCGGGCATCCTGGTGGATGCTGCTGCCCAAGCCAAGCGTTTTGCCCCCTTCTGTCTCTTCCTCCCAGTGAGAACCTTGGTCCCCATCGCGCAGGGTGGGAAGAGGGTTTGGGGCTGCAGCTGGTTTGGGATGTGCCGTGGCCCCGCAGGCAGGGAGCACGGCCGCTCACCCCTGCCCTCTCTGCCCTGGCAGGTCCTGAAGCCGCTGCTGCCCCGCAAGGTGCTAAAGTGCAGGAAGCAGAGGATCCTCCAGCTGCAGGTGCCAGCCTGTCAGAGCTGGTGAGTGCTGCTGGACAAGGAGCCCCCGGCCTCCCGCCAGCTCCTGCTGGGGACGTGCCCTGGTCCCCAGTGCCCCACGGCTCTGCCCGGGCAGCGAGAGGGGACCGGG